GGGAAGAAGTTCGACAAACCCCCACCACACTTTGCAGCACTTTCAGTACCAGTATTGCGCCAATAATCCCTGTTGGATTCCCCAAAGTCTCAGGATCTCCCATAGCGATTCACGATACACCGAGTGCAACGTCTTGAGATCGATGTAGGCTACAAGCAGCCCACGACCGAACTCACGACGGCCTCCCACAACTCGAAGCGCTAGGATACGGTCTACTGTGGACCTGCCAGTAGTGAATCTAGATTGCTCCTGCCTCCGGTGCCTCATTAGGTGGTCACGGACCCGTTTCAGAAGGATGTGGGCGAAAACCTTGCCTGGTATACTGAGCAGTGTGATGCCACGGTAGTTGCTACAGTCCCATTGATCCCCTTTCCCCTTCCAGTGAGGGATAACCACGCCCTCAACAGGCCAGATGGCAGTCAAGACCGAGAGTAAGCCCTGTGATATAGGTTCACCCCTAGCCTTTAGCAGTTCAGCAGGAATATCACATATGCCTGCAGCTTTCCCATCCTTAAGCTTAGAGATCGCCACCCTAACCTCAGTTAGGATAGAAAGTTCCTCGCCGATGGGTGGGTCTGGCACAGGTATCGTCATACCACTTGCGACCAGTCTAACTGCTGGAAGGTCTACCAGGTATAACTGCTCAAAATACTCAGTTCAACGTTCACGAACCCCAACATAATCTAAGATGATCTGTCCATCCACTGAGCGGACGGAGGGCCTAGCGTTCTATTTTCTCAGGGCTTGGTTGGCAGGGCGAAGTCATTTACCCAGAAATGGCCTTCAACCTCCTCAGCAAGATCCCTGATGAATTGTTCATTGTCTCTTCTCAGCAGTGTCCGAGCCCTACACACCAGGGAACGGCGCAAGCCCCGATTGCCACTCAGCCGAGCCATACGACACGCTTCTGTGGCCTCCAATGTCTCTAGCGAGATGAAATTCTGCCTCGAGCGTTCGTATATGGACTCCTGCGCTCCATCGAGGGTTTGGTGCTTGAAGGACTCCCACAGATCTACTGGGTGTCAGGTTTTCGAGTTCTGTGAGCCGATCGGAGACTGCCACGGCGAAACTCCGGGCACACTCTCCTTCCCTCAATCTGTTGACGTGAAGCACCCTAGTGGTCACTGGAAGGACGAGGAGTTTTGAAGTCGACCTGTAGGGACGCCACAACCAGCCTATGGTCAGTACCACAGAACGCGGCACTCCGGTAAACCCTGCAATGGTGAAGGATCCTCTAGCGAGTGCTGACAAGAATGTGGTCGATCTCCTTGGCCACAGTACCTGTACCGCTATACCATTTTCAGCGATGCGGGTTGGAAGGCCGATACCAGGAGCCAGAAATCTTCAATCTCTGGGACCTAGTAAAGTCCCGGAGAAGGAGGCTGTTCTCGCTACTGGGGTCAGTTCCCGAGCCATGGGACCGACAGACATCTCGTAGCCAGCAAGATTACAGCCGGATACCAGCTGTGAAGTCGTCCAGAACAATGCGAATGCGGATGTCTCGCCTGGGACATCTGTCACAGCCAATCTTAATACATGGGTATCTCCTTGTCAGATGTATACGAAAAAACTCAAATACTCTGTTAACGTGTATTCTCAATATCAAATATTTAGTTGTTACTGATATAAACAGAAATAGAAACAAACAGCAAAAAGGAAATTTTGAGGAGTGCTAACAGAGGCAAAACTGTTGGCTTGTCAAATTTCATTTCATTGTTTTGTTCATAAATTGCATGTGAAATTAATTAAACGAGTACTTCTGCATCCTTTGACTTCGGTAAATTCATTATTCTTACTAGCACAGCAAATTGGGTGGTTCTTTTTAGAGCTGCTAGGAATAATATGCTTATCAACAATATCATATATTTTCTTTGACACTTGTTACTCTTGTTAGTACATTTTCGTCCATGTTTTTTCAGTGCCTTGAACATTACTAATAACCTGAAAACTTGTTTTCATATCCAAATTTAGAATTTTGTATTTACATTTCTCTATCTTACTTCTTGGTTTCAATATTATTTTAGCAAGATCATGGATGTCACTGCATTCTATTAATGTTGATGATAGACAGACTAGAAAAATCTATATTTCTTGATATTTGTTTCTCAATCTGATACCAATTCTTTTTCCAAATATATCTCCTTAGTGTCTTTCACACATTTCACAAAAGAATAAAGGAATAATAAAATGACCTACATATTTTGAAAGATTTTTTTTATGTACAATTAATCAGTAATTTTAAAACTACATCCCCAAAACTCCCTCTGACTTGACTTGGAAAAACAAACATGATGAACACTGGAAATATAGAGAATAAAAAAGAAAAAGAAAACGTAATCTAACACTGAAAACCTTCAAGTGAAGAACTGCATAAATAATAAAAATAATACCCGATTTCACGGAATACTTCTTTATTGTTTTCTCAATTTCACAGTATTTTGTTCCTGTCTAGAAAGTACCAAAAATGTACACATGCAAACAGAAAATGGAAAGTCTTTCTTTTTAAAATCATGAATGTAATCATGACTTACGCTGGAGATCTATGCCATCACTTAAGTAAAAATCTTTTTTATTTTTTGGTTGTTTTTTATTTTAAGTAGTCACCATGAACATCTACATTTGACCTAGGTAATTTTATTTCATTTTTATCTTACAACACATTTTGCCTACTTGTAATCCTCAATGGCATTAAGTGTGTAAAAAAAGAAAATACCAACCATTAACATTCTTTAAAAAAAGAAGCTTGCACAATTCTACAATCAATCATTAACACTGAAAATTTCATATTATTCAAAATTCACGATCACAATGAAATAATGTAAAATCTATCCTGCAAATATTTTTTACCTGTACAACATGAGCACAGTTACCTCTATCATGAAATGCCCTCACAACTAGTAGAGAATAAGGAGTTACTTTTTCTCTTTTACTTATTTATAAACTTTTAAGCCACCATGAGGAGTTCCTTGAACGAACCCTCATTTCCTCCTCCACCCTGCAACACACCTCGAGGTATGTAACACGCCGAGCAAGCAACATCTTTGTTTCGAGGACAACCTGCATACATTCGGCCAAGTGAGGAGGCTCTCTCTACCTCCATCGTGTGTGCAGGGCAGACAGTCGTGTCACCTTGTTCCCCACAATGGGAAATACAGATTCTTCCTCAGGGGAGGAACTTGAGACACGCCAATGGATAGGCCTTTGGAACTGAAGTTAAAGGCCCTCTTTTGGTGGTCTTCTTTGTCCACTTCAGCAGTCTGATTATCATCGGTTCCTCTACACAAGAGACATGGACAGTTATGACAAAAGAAAGAAAAAGGAAGGGAGGGAGAGAGAGGAGGAAGTCTGCATTTACCATAAGAGCAGAAAGGATGTGTGCTTTTCCCTTTACACTTTCCTTTTTGACTCATTCACTTTGTTACAAGACATAGGAAGCCTCTCAGAATCTTTCTCTCTCTTCCTTTTTTTTTTCTTATTTTTTTTTTCTTTTTTTTCTTTTTTTTTTTACACGTCCATAATTGTTTGACAAAACCCTAACTTAACAAAGCAAGTGCAAGGACCAGGAGGAGACAACTTGATGACCTGAGCTTTGTTACAGAGGGTTTTCACACTGTAGTCATATCTCACATCAAGCACATTGGAGGCCAAAGTTTACCAACGAGATGATGATATTCAAGTGCGTTTAATGAAACACAAAACATATCGCAGTAAGTTTCTTTTGTAACTGACACAGGTAAAGAAAGCTTTTTACATCTCTCTTCTTTTGCTCTACAAATTATCAATATCTTTGTTTTTATTTCCATGGAACACAAAATCCCAAAAAAAAAAGGTAAGAAAAAAATACACATATCACATATCATCATGTGGTAAATATACAAAACTTAAGTGAGAACTTAAAAGATACTTTCTGAATGAAGAGAGAACATAGTAAAACGTTCAAAAATTATAGTAACCATATTCATGAAGTTAAAACAGAAAACAAAGAAGTCCTTTCAAGCTTATGGGGATTCTTTATTAAAGTACAAAAAAAGAAAAAAAAAATGGATGAGGTGTTTGAGTGACAGCAGAGTAAAATATTAATAATTTGAAGCTACACACTGAGCCCTCTTCTCATAACTGCAACTTGTTGGAGATTCAGCTGCATATTTCTTATCACTAATTTTCTTTGTAAGGGAAGTGATAAAACAATTTAGGAAATAATAATAATAATAATAAAAAAGTATCTGTGCAAGTTTACCGTGCGACTATCAATCATACACTCACACTTCCGTTTTTTTCTTTTAAAGGAAATAGAGAAAAGTGGAGAGGGAGAGAGAGAGAGAGAGAGAGAGAGAGAAAAAAAAAAGATATCTGTCAAAGTTGCATTGAACCACAAGGTCATTACACACCCATACTCCACAGATGCTGCCATGTCTCAAACACTTCAAATCTCTTTCACATAAGTTAATTTTTTTTTTTTTCTTTTTACATTTCCTTGTTTTGTTTTTTTGGTTTTGGTTTTGTTTCTGAAGTCAATCCACACACAATTAGCACAGAAATTCCTGAATCCTCACCCCTTTTTTTGACACTCGACATCAGCCATGCTACAAGTGAACCACAGACAGACAACTGATTGATAAAAATTTCAACACACGTGCTTGACTCGGGAAGAAGGGAAGGGGACATGGGTGGAGGAGAGTACATTACCTAAAAGAGAAGACAAAAAAAAGAAAGAAAAAATAGAAAAGAGAGCGAGAAAAAAAGAAAAAGAAAAAAAAAAATGTGTTTTTCTTTCTTAGACCTTGTTATCTACAGCTTATCTTAAAATATTTTGATAACTAGCATGACAAATGAGACTGAGAATTTGTAACTGTAACGGTCGAAACGTTCTCTGGAGCCAGCCGTCTGCACAGCACCGTCAAGTATGGAGCATCTACAACCTTTCTGTAGTAATCTTGCAGTTTTGTCTGGTGTACAATCATCAATACTTGTATCTTCCTGAAAGACAAGATGAAAAAGAAAAAAAAAAAAAAAAAACAAAAAAAAAAAAAAAAAATGTGTTTTTCTTTCTTAGACCTTGTTATCTACAGCTTATCTTAAAATATTTTGATAACTAGCATGACAAATGAGACTGAGAATTTGTAACTGTAACGGTCGAAACGTTCTCTGGAGCCAGCCGTCTGCACAGCACCGTCAAGTATGGAGCATCTACAACCTTTCTGTAGTAATCTTGCAGTTTTGTCTGGTGTACAATCATCAATACTTGTATCTTCCTGAAAGACAAGATGAAAAAGAAAAAAAAAAAAAGAAAACTAGAGTAAACATCACATTTTTCTAATGGCATTGGGTTGATGACATATTCCATTTTTTTTCTTCTTCCTCTTTAACATAAAAACACAGAAAATCACAAATACGCGCTTAAGTTCAATGCCCCAATGAACATCCACATCACAGGCCTACACTCTGCAGTATGAGGACCTATGAGAGAGGATTAAAGAGGACCTTCCCAAACGGAACACTTGGTGCGATGACTTACGTGGAGAATAGGAGCGAGATCTGGACCTATCGTAGCGATCGTACTTGTCATAAGCACGGTCATATCTATCATAGCGGTCATGGTATTGAGGCCTGTCGTAGCGGTCATAGCCTCTGTCGTAGCTCCTGTCCCCGCGGTCATACCTGGAAGAGTGGAGCGTGTGCTTGCTGTTACATGCCCAAGAAAATATAGGTGGGTTTGCTAATGAGAGAAAAAAAAAAAAATGTGTTTTTCTTTCTTAGACCTTGTTATCTACAGCTTATCTTAAAATATTTTGATAACTAGCATGACAAATGAGACTGAGAATTTGTAACTGTAACGGTCGAAACGTTCTCTGGAGCCAGCCGTCTGCACAGCACCGTCAAGTATGGAGCATCTACAACCTTTCTGTAGTAATCTTGCAGTTTTGTCTGGTGTACAATCATCAATACTTGTATCTTCCTGAAAGACAAGATGAAAAAGAAAAAAGAAAATAAGACAAATACCCAAAGAGAAAATACATATGACTTTCTTAGATTAAATACAAAACAAAACCTACAAAATCACAACGAATATGTCAAAACTAAAATATATAAAAGACTAAAAATTAATCAGACACCAATAAAGTATTTTTGTGCTTCTGTTAGAGACACCACCTTGCAATCAAACATAGATATGCCACTTCAGGTTGTTAAACTAACACTTCTATCTATCTCTTGTTTTATTCTCACAACTAGAGTAAACATCACATTTTCTATGGTATATGGTGATGATGAACTATACCAATTTTTATTTTCTTCTTCTTCTTTTAACATAACAACAGAAAATCACAAATAATCGCGCTAATTTCAATGCCCCAATGCACATCCATCTCACAGGAGCCTACATCTTTGGCAGTATGGAGGACTATGAGAGAGGATTAAAGAGGACTTTCCCAAACGAAACACTTGGTGCGATGACTTACGTGGAGAATAGGAGCGAGATCTGGACCTATCGTAGCGATCGTACTTGTCATAAGCACGGTCATATCTATCATAGCGGTCATGGTATTGAGGCCTGTCGTAGCGGTCATAGCCTCTGTCGTAGCTCCTGTCCCCGCGGTCATACCTGGAAGAGTGGAGCGTGTGCTTGCTGTTACATGCCCAAGAAAATATAGGTGGGTTTGCTAATGAGAAAAAAAAAAAAAAAAAAAAAAAAAAACGTAAACATCTTTAGTAAACATCTTATTTTCTATATTTTTGGTCTAATTTTCCTTTTGTTCTAAGATGATATTATCCTGATAAAAACAGACTGACAAGAGAACTCTAAGACGAAGGGGAGCACAATGATGGATTCATTAAGAAATAATAATAACTTTGTAAAAAAAATAATGAATGAGTAACTAATAAAAGACAGCATAACAAATTTGCAACATCACTGTCAACTGTACATTTTTTGGTGGGAAATGCAGACAAAGCAAATCATTATTCATATCTTTTAACAGTTTTCCAGGAGCTGCATAAAGGGTCCTCCAAATGCGATTAACAATTAAATTTCGTCTCTATAAGTCATTTGTGACTTTTTTCTTTTTTTTTTTTGGTCATTTACAGGCATATAAATCAATATGTAAATAAACAAACGAAAAGGTGAATAAATAAAAGGTAACAATGCAAGTCCAAAAGGCCAACTTTTTCTTCTTCGAAAAGATGTGCTAAGCAATTTTTTTTTCTTCTTCTTCCTCTTCTTTTAATCTATGAATAGTATCTGAGATGGCGTCACTGTGCCTGGTTCAGAGAAACAAGTTGTGTGAGTAAATGAGAAAAAAAGTGAGAAGATGAGACAAACGTATACATATTAATACATGTATGAATATTCAAGGACACCCACACGCACACAATCACACCCACACACAGACTCACATTAATACATGTTGTGGTAGTTTTTCGTTCCTTCAAAACCTTGCTCCTTTTAATATTTGCAGTAAGGATTCCTTTCATGAAGAGTATCTTTCTATCTAAAATGATAACATTGCATACCAAAAGAAAGAAAAAGGGAATAAGATACCGATAATGAATGAATGAATGAAGAAAAGAAAAGAAAAGAAAAAAAAATGGTGGTAATGACTGATGACGAGAAGGTGAAAACTTGATGTGAGCCAAATGAAAGCAACATCAAACTACAAGTAAATAAAACCCTTTAAAGTATTCAGTACCTCTAAATTACATAAATATACTTTTGACAAAAAAAAAAAAAAAAAATTATACAAGGCAAAACAGGTATACCTTGGGTTTTCTAAAACTATCATAAAACTCTTTGCAGATAATTCTAACCTATTTAATTCATTCATGACGTAAAATTTCAAGTGGCTGAGGGGCATCAGTATGTTGCTCAACACCTAGGCCTTCTGCATGGCTCTTGAGCCATCATCCCAGCCACCATAGAAGTGGGCTTGTGAGCAGGCATAACCTACTGTCTGGGAATTTTTAGCCTGATGCTATAAGACCTCCCAGTGTGAGTTAAGCACAACTAAGGTCACAAAACAAATGTAAAACAATTTTGCCTCAACCTGTGCTTTTGGTTGTGGCTGGAATTCCAGAAAACTCCTCTAACACAAAAGGGAGGCAAGTATCATGTGAAAACTGGCAAGCAACTTCATAATAAATATCATTTTGATCCAAAAGATTCTAATGTCAAACTTTTCAATCTTAAATCATACTATATTCATGATTTTTTTCTAGAGTAAGTTTGACTAGTATGTTACACCTCTGAGGTATAAATACAGCTGATAAGCTAAAACATCCAGCAGCTATACACACTTGCTGAATTCTTCTATCCCATTGGATCCACGTCACACAAATGTCCCTTCATGAAAAAATTTAGCCAGGCGATGGGAATATTCTGTCATGGGAAAACCTGGCTGAAGATCAGGGTTACAGCAACGTGCTATTAAGAAAAATTTGGCTGAAGGCTTGGATGATAGGAATAATTCGCCATTTGTGTATAAAAGCTCTTGAAAGAAGAATAGACTCAGTGGGATATAGGAAGAGGCTCTTGAATTATTTCTTAAGTAAATGAGGGTGGATTGTACCATCTGTGACCCAAGGTGGGAAGAGCAATGGTTCCAGGAAGGACACTATTTTCAAGGTCTGGTTATATATATAGATATCTATAGCTATAAATATATATAGATAAGTAGATATCTATAGATAGAGATACAAATAAATATATATCTATACATCACACATGGATATACATATCTATATACAGTACTACCATGGAGATAGATAGAAGTACTTGTATGATGCAAACATGTATATATTTAATGACATATAAACAGTATTAACAGTGTACAAAAACAATGTTTGAAAATATAAATTTAAAGAAATCACACACAGACACTCACACAGACACACAAACACAGACACAGACACACAAACACAGACACAGACACAAACACAGACACACAGACACACACAGACACACACACACAAAAAAAGTGAGTGAGAAAGAGAGAGACAGAGAGAGAGGGAGAGGGAGAGAGGTGGGAGAGGGGGGAGGGGAGAGAGAGAGAAAGTGAGTGAGTGTGCATATGCATGCATACATACATACATACATACATACATATACACATGTTTACATACATGCATACAAAGTTACATACATACATACATATAAAAATATCTACATAATGTCATATATTTGAGTGGGTTCAAGATGATGACTTTGACCAAGTCACCTGGCCTTAGAAAGTCCTGTCACGTGCCACATGGATATATATTGGTCTTTCACTCAAGCTATTAGGTAAAGTGAGATAACCCGAGTCATGACCCAAGGAACCTAGGGCAGAATGAACGTCTTTGTCATTCTGTCATCTCCAGCCAAGGCCACTTGGTTTGGGTCCTGGCCATGCTACAGTGAAGCACTGTTCTAGCTTATATTACCTTCTGTTTAATAGCATAGTGTGCTGTACATACAGCTTGACTCTATGGTAATAAACATAAGCTAATTTAACTGGGAGCAGTGCCAGAGCGGACTAGTGTCCATATGTCACTTTCTAAGACCATGTGGTCAAAGTAACCATTCAAATATATGAACTGTATGATCATCATATTGCTTAATATTGTGTTTATCAATACAGTGCTGTACTCTTAGTATAATAAAGAGTCCAGCCATACATACACTAACACTACCCAATCAATCCAATAAGAAGTCTAAATAATACCAAATTAGAGCTTCTTACATGTGTGTGTGTGTGTGTGTGTGTGTGTGTGTGTGTGTGTGTGTGTGCGTGTGCGTGTGCGTGTGCGTGTGCATGTGCGTGTGCGTGTGCGTGTGCGTGTGCGTGTGTCTCAGTCTGTTTGTTTGTTTGTGTCTCAGTGTGTTTGTTTGCTTGTGTCTCAGTGTGTTTGTTTGCTTGTGTCTCAGTGTGTTTGTTTGCTTGTGTCTCAGTGTGTTTGTTTGCTTGTGTCTCAGTGTGTTTGTTTGCTTGTGTCTCAGTGTGTTTGTTTGCTTGTGTCTCAGTGTGTTTGTTTGCTTGTGTCTCAGTGTGTTTGTTTACTTGTGTCTCAGTGTTTGTGTGCATGCATTTGTGCATATGCATAAATTGCCTTGTGCATGTGTGTCTATGTGTGTGCTTTTTTTTTTTGTGTGTGTGTGTGGGGTAGGGTAAGAGAACGAAAAGACAGAAAAAACAGAGACTGAAGCAGAGGGTAAAAAGAAACAGGCACTGAAAGACAAAATGGAGGTAGCGGTTGCTGAAGAGAACAAGGAGATAATGGCAAGCACTGGCAAAGAGTGGAGGGTGGAGACCGAAAAAGCCTGTGTCAGGAACAGGATCTCGGGCAATGCTTCCAAGACCCTCCTAAGGGACGGGCTCTTTTAGGAGTTCAGGAGCTCCCTCCCCACTATGTATCTCTTTAAACTGAATGTCTTTAAATATGCCACTGTTATCCCAGTACCTTGAAGCCATAAAATAAATTTAAATAAGGATGCATTTTAGTGAAATTAATTAATGGAAAAGCTCACTCAACAAGGGGGGAGAAAATTGAAAAAATTGAAAAAATTGAAAAAATAATTCTTGCATTTCTATCTAAGACATACTTACCAGTTTCAATAAATGTGCAACACCAAGAACTCTGTGAATCACACCTTACGAAACACAAAATGAGAAAGCCTGGTTGAGTGAGACAGCTCATTCGTGTATGACAGG